AAGCCGACTCTGGGCAGCTTGTACATAAGTGATCATTCCAAGCTTTTACTTGTTTGAAACAAATGTTTAAACAACTTCATTCAATAGTTTTTATCAATTCACTTTATAGGCTTAGAAGAATGTCGTCTTTAACTTACCCACTGGAATATTTTCTACGACTCGTTCGAACCTCCTGTTCTCGCTGAGAGGATAAAATTTGCATGCTAGACGAAACGAAGAAAAAACAAATTGATTAATGCCTCAAGGCCCATCCAATAGAAATATATGTTCTGGAACAAATGTTACTTGTGGAGCAACACGTACTAACAAATCCCCCAGGAAATTTGTGAAACCAATTTTTACCAAAAGGTGTGTATTAAAGTCAGTCTTAATGGAAATGCTTTTTAAATACGAGATGTATATTAAAAATTATTTATTAAAAACTAAAAAAGCTCTCGAATGTCTTCGCGGGAACTCTGAATAGCTATAACGCTAAAAAAATGGGTTTCGATATCCGTGGTGGGCACAGTACAGATAGCCTATTATGTAGCTCTGTGCTTAAACAGACAAACAAACAAAAACATTACTAGTCTTCACACCAAGAAATAATGATCCAATATACATTAATATTTCTCCTACACCAAGAAATAATGATCCAGTATACATTAATATTTCCCTCACACCAAGAAATAATGATCCAATATACATTAATATTTCCCCCACATCAAGAAATAATGATCCAATATACATTAATATTTCCCCCTCACCAAGAAATAATGATCCAGTATACATTAATATTTCCCCCACACCAAGAAATAATGATCCAATATACATTAATATTTCCTCCACACCAAGAAATAATGATCCAGTATACATTAATATTTCCTCCCACAACAAGAAATAATGATCCAATATACATTAATATATCCCCCACACCAAGAAATAATGATCCAGTATACATTGATATTTCCCTCACACCAATAAATAATGATCTAATATACATTAATATTTCCCCCACACCAAGAAATAATGATCTAATATACATTAATATTTCCCCCACAAAAAGAAATAATGATCTAATATACATTAATATTTCCCCGCTACATTGTCCCGAACCGTGAAAGATGCTCCCCACCCCTCCACCCCCGGAAAATGTCTGTAAGCTTCCTCTGCTGAAACTAAAAAGAATGTTTCTCATAATCCTTGTGAAAAACAAGCATCCAATAAAATGTGCTAATCTACATACGATAGTAGATACTGTGTTTGTTTTGTTATAGTACAAACTTACACATTGGGCAGTCTTTACTCTGTTCACCACGGGGAATTGAACCCCAAATTTTTGCGTTGTAAACCTGTACACTTTACCACTAACCCACCGGGAAACTGTTCTTGTGGACTATGAGAGACGTGTGACAAAACACCTAATAACAACACTGAACAATGCTCACACTACGTTTGAAACTGTTCTTGTGGACTGTGAGAGACGTGTGACAAAACACCTAACAACAACACTGCACAATGTTCACACTACGTTTGAAACTGTTCTTGTGGACTGTGAGAGACGTGTGATAAAACACCTAACAACAACACTGAACAATGTTCACACTACGTTTGAAACTGTTCTTGTGGACTATGAGAGACATGTGACAAAACACCTAACAACAACACTGCATAATGTTCACGCTACGTTTTAACCTAATGGGCCGGGCGTGGCTGAGTGGTTAGCGTGCCAGACTGTGAATCTGAAAATTCGCGTCACGCTGCCGCAAAAATACGCTCCGCACTCTACAAACCTGATGTAAAATCAATGTTTTAGTCAGCCAAGAATTAGGAGGGGGTGGTGGTTCTGGTTAGCTACCTACCTTATCAGTTCAAACATTTGGGCAAAGATAAGGTCTTGTGCGAATATCCGTGACAAACAAATCAGAGAGAGATTCCGTCTGAAGTACTTAATCCTGAAAAACAGCGGACCTTGTCACAACAAAACAGAATTAATTCAACGTCATCTGCTTAAGGATTTACCACTGGGTAATACATCCCTAATTAACTTTAATAATTAAAAAGGCCTCCATCTCGTCGTCTGTGTTAACGTACAGAATTCTCTGAAGTTAAGGTTAAAACCTTAATTAACACCGTAAAACAACACATGAAACATGTTTATATATAGTGTTAACGTACAAGTCTCTGAAGTTAAGGTTAAAACCTTAATTAACACCGTAAAACAACACATGAAACATGTTTATACATAGTGTTAACGTACAAGTCTCTGAAGTTAAGGTTAAAACCTTAATTAACACCGTAAAACAACACATGAAACATGTTTATATATAGTGTGTACTTCAGAATTCTCTGAAGAATTCACATGGTGTTATACATCTCACAATGTCTCGTTGAAGAAGGTAGATCATCATATGACGTGTAATTTCCTCTACTGCGGAGGTACTTTCTCTGTACTGTAGATGTATCTTACGTGGGCTAATGTTACATGCGTTAGAAGTCTAGTAACAATCTGATTCAATAAAACCTGTTGAAAAATGTGTTAACTTAGCCAAACTAGTTTCGTCTTTAAAAACAAGAAACGTTGAATTGAAAAACGAATATTACATATAGTCTAACATTACTGACTTAGGAGCTAAGGCAGATACTAATAAAACAGATCGACAGTACTTAGAGAAATATCACACGCGTGGGAAGGACACTTCAATGAGATTTTCATATTTCGATAGCCGATGTTGAAACACTTTAAAATACAAGTCTTAAATTTGAAAGAAAACAATAAACATTCCCAGTGTCACTATCTCCACGAAAGCTAGCCTTCTACACGAGTGTCTTAAACAGAAAAACAATTTTTATATATTACAAACAGCTGGTTTTTCTGTATTTATCAATCTGTTACTGCCCAAAACAAACACAAAAATTAGACATCATACACTCAAAATAAACAGGACTTAAACAGCAAACATCACTCAACATAAACAGAACTTTAAACAGCAAACATCAAGCAACATCAACATAACTTAAACAAGAAAGATCACTCAGCATAAACAGAACTTTAAACAGCAAACATCAAGCAACATCAACATAACTTAAACAAGAAAGATCACTCAGCATAAACAGAACTTTAAACAGCAAACATCACCCAACATAAAGCTTAAACAACAAGTATCGCTCAACGTAAACAATATTTACACAACAATAAACAGTATAATACAACAAATAATTACCAAAAGTTAAAAACTCCTCAATCATGTGGAAAATAAAAATCTGTTTACTTCAGTTTAATGATCTTTAAAACAAAGTTTTATATTGTTCCTGTTTTCCTGACAAATCTCACATATGTCTTGGTTCAAAACTTCAGGGTCGTGAATAATACCTACACATTATCTGATCAAAAAACAAAAAGAAATTCAAAAAGCA